TATCTACAACCCTTTCATATAATAATTTTCCTTAAAAAGCTCTAATTTCCCAAAAAGACAAGTATGTCCACTCTTCCCACTTTTATTTGATATAGTACTGGAAGTCCTGGCCACAGCAATTAGACAACATACAGAAATAAAAAACATCCAAATTGGTCAGGAAGAGGTAAAACTTACCACATGCAGATGGCATGATACTGTATACAGAAAACCCTGAAGGCTCCACCAAAACCTACCAGAACTGATACATGAATTCAGTAAAGTCGCAGGATACTTATCAATGTACAGACATCTGTTGCATTCTATACACGAATAATGAAGCTGCAGATAGTGAAATTAAGAAAACAATCCCATTTACAATTGTACCAAAAACAATAAAATACTTAGGAATAAACTTAAGCAAAAGGTGACTGAAAACGCTAAAACATGGATGAAAGAAACTCAAGATGCTGCAAAGAAATGGAAAGACATTCCATGCTCGTGGACTGGAAGAAACATATTGTTAAAACGTCTATACTATTCAAAGCAACCTACAGATTTAATGCAATCCCTCTCAAAATACCAACAGCATTTTTCACAGAACTAGAACAATCCTAAAACTTGTATGGAGCCACAAAAGACCTCGACTAGCCAAAGCAATCCTGAAAAGGAAAAACAAAACTGGAGGCATCACAATTCCAGACTTCAAGTTATATTACAAAGTGGTAGTAATTACAACAGTATGGTCCAGACACAAAGATCAAGGGAATAGGATAAAAAACCCAGAAATAAACCCACAATTATATGGTCAGTTAATCTTCCACAAAGGAATGAATATCCAATGGGAGACAGGCAGTCTCTTCAACAAACGGTGTTGGGAAAACTGGACAGCAACATGTAAAGGAATGAAACTAGACCACGTTCTTACACCACACACAAAGTAAACTCAAAATGGATGAAAGACCTAAATGTGAGGCCTGAAACCATAAAAATCTTAGAAGAGAACACAGGCAGTAATGTGACATCACCCATAACAACATCTTTCTAGATGTCTCCTGAGGCAAGGGAAACAAAAGCAAAAATAAACTATTGGAACTTCATCAAAATAAAAAGCTTCTGCACAGCGAAGGAAACAGTCAATGAAACTAAAAAGTAACATACTGAATGGGAGAAGATATTTGTAAATGACATAAAGGCTCTGATAAAGGGTTACTATCTAAAATGCATAAAGAATTGGTAAAACTCAACACTCAAAAAATAAGTAATCTGATTAAAAATGGGCAGAAGACATGAATAGACATTTCTCCCAAGACGACATCCAGATGATCAACAGACACATGAAAAGAATTCAACATCACTCATCATCAGGGAAATACAAATCACAACCACAATGAGATACCACCTCACACCTGTCACATTGGCTAAAATCAACAAGTCAGGAAACGACAGGTGTTGGCGAGTATGTGGAGGAAGCGGAACCCTCCCGCACTATTGGTGGGAATGCAAGCTGGCGCAGCTGCTCTGGAAAACAGTATGGAGGTTCCTCAAAAAGTTAAAATTGGGGGCACCTGCGTGGCTCAGTTGGTTAGGCGTCTGCCTTTGGCTCAGGTCATGATCGCAGGGTCCTGGGATGGAGCCCCGCATCGGGCTCCCTGCTCAGCGGGGAGCCTGCTTCTCCCTCTCCCTGCTGCTTGCCCTACTTGTGCGCATGCACTCTCTTTCTCTGTCAAATAAATAAACAAAATCTTTTTTTTTTTTTTAAAGATTTTGTTTATTTATTTATTTGAGACAGAGAGAATGAGAGAGAGAGAGCATGAGAGGGGGGAGGGTCAGAGGCAGAAGCAGACTCCCTGCTGAACAGGGAGCCCAATGTGGGACTCGATCCCGGGACTCCAGGATCATGACCTGAGCCGAAGGCAGTTGCTTAACCAACGGAGCCACCCAAGC